GTGGTAGAGCACTAGCCTTGAGCTGAAGAGCTGAGGGACAGCGCCCAGGCCCAGAGTTCAGGCTCCACGACCGGACCCAAAAAAAAAAAAAAAAAGAGTCTCATGCTCCGGCTGGCTTTGAACCATGATCCTTAGACCTCAGACTCCTGAGTAGCTAGGATTACAAGGAAGAGCAACCGGTGCCCGGCTCCTTTGCAGTTTTATCAGATGCATTCCAGGAAAGAACTGCTGCCATTTTATGAGTTTGACAGATTGGCTCAATAAAACCCAAGTGCCAGTTTTTGTTGCCTTTGGTACCAGACTTAACAGCTTGTAAAGATCAACTGTCTCTTGAAAGCAGGCATGAACCAGTGTTACCATACGACAGTGAAGATCCAGGGCCACGGTTTATTTTTGGTAGTTCTGGGGTTTGAACTCGGCCTGCTATGCAGGAGCTATGTCTTCCTTAAGCATCCTCCAACCCAGGCCTAGTATTTTTGTTTTTGTGACAGTATTGCCACTTGAACTCAGAGCCTCCATGCTCTTAGCTTTTTCCCCCTCAAGGCTGGTACTCTACCATTTGAGCCACAGCTCCACTTTGTGTGTGTGTATGTGTGTGTGTGTGTGTGTGTACGCGCCAGTCCTGGTGCTTGAACTGAAAACCTGAGCACTGTCCCTGAGCTTTTTAGCTAAAGACTTGTGTTCGCCGGGCGCTGGTGGCTCACGTCTGTAATCCTAGCTATTCAGGAGGCTGAGATCTGAGGATCACGGTTCAAAGCCAGCCTGGGCAGGAGAGACTGTGAGACTCCTATCTCCAATAAACCACCAGAAAACCGGAAGTGGCACTGTAGCTCAAGTGGTAGAGCGCTCGCCTTGAGCTGAAGAGCTGAGGGACAGCGACCAGGCCCAGAGTTCAAGCCCCACAACCGACAAAAAAAAAAAAAAAAAAAAAGACTTGTGTTCTACCACTAGAGCCACAGCACTGCTTCCAGCTTTTTAGTGTTGTTAGTGATTTTATTTTTTTGCTGGTCCTGGTGCTTGAACTCAGGGCCTGGGTGCTGTTGCTGAGTCTCTTTGTGCTCAAGACTACAGCTCTACCACTTGAGCCACAGCAGCACTTCCAGCTTTTTCTGAGTAGCTTACCAGAGATAAGAGTCTCACAGGAACTTTCCTTTCTGAGCTGGCTTCGAACAGTAATCCTCAGATCTTAGCCTCCTAAGTAGCTAAGATTAGAGGTCTGAGCTATCATGCCTGGATCTAGTATATACTTCACTGTGGAGCTTGCCAAATTTCCACTTGGGCAGGAGAGGCTGGACTACAGCTCGTGGTGAGAGTACTTGCTTAGCATGGGCAAAGCAAAAGGAACAGGACTGTGTGTGTATACACAGACACCGGAGCACACATTTGTTCTGAATTGTGTATTTGGATGGAATAGAACATAGCAGCTAACAGCAAGGAGAGGCAGACAGAAAGGTGGACAGACCTGACTCCTAGCCTAGGAGCCGAACCTGGGACAGGGCCAGACAGGGCCAGGAAGTCAGGGAGGAGGCTGAAGCTGAGGTAACTGGAAGTGAAGGTCCCAGGGAGAGTATGGCCTTGGAAAGCAGCATTGTGGTTCTGCTGAGGTTGCGTAGTGTCTCTTAGCATCCCTCTGCACAAGATAGAGACTTCTCTGGGCCCACAGAGGAGGCCTGGAGGGACCATAAGGCTCCAGGAACCGGGCCCAGCAGCCTGTGACTGGTACAGGATGAGCCCCCAGTCTGGGAAGCTGAGTGCCAACCAGCAGGGAAGGACAGACCTATAGTTCATGCTCCCTGGGGTTTACGGGTGTGTGGGGGGAGAGGGGTCCTGAATCCCATCTGGTACAGCAAATCCCTGACTGGACACAAGAAGAGGCAGGTCCCTTGGAGAGGGACAGAAAGAAGGGACCGCAGACTTGAAGAGTATAAAAGCTGCTAGCAGATAAAAGACAGACACTGGGCCTAAGCAGCGATGCCTGAAATGCCTCGGGTCCCCTCCCCGGGCTGGTCCACAGAGAAGCCTTGTGATGTGCCATCGGCTGTTGTCAGTGGGAACTCATGGCCCCTCAGCTCCAAAGGATCATGGATGCTGGGAATCCAGCTGGGGCAGCTCTGGGGACTGCTCTGGAACCTTCTGTTCTGCAGCCTCTACACCCTTCTGGTCACCGGCCGGGGCTGGGACAGGAACATCATCTGGAAATGATGGAGGAACCATCTGGTCTCCCTCAAACCCGGGAGTCCAGACCTCCATATCTCCTCCCTCGAAAGGAGGAGGAAGGAACCTAGCTTTTCTCCCTGGGCCCAGGATCAGCACCTGTGTCGGAGTGGAACTTGAGCTGTCCCTCAGGGTTGGCGGGTGGAGCGTTATGACCTTCCTGCTGCTGCTGCTGCTGCTTCCTCTGTTCCATATGTAAGACAGCCTGCATGAGAGGTGGCAAGAGGTTATAGAACCAAAATGCCCTCACTGAGTCCTTCCATTACCACCTACTGCCCTCATCAAACATGGCTGCTGTGATCCAAGGAAAAACCCCTGCCCTTACTCAAGATGGCGCCAACCACCAGAAGATCTACCAGAGACTAATTTAGACACGCATGTGGACAAGAGCAAAGATCCTCAGAGATGCAGGGATGGACCTCAGCTTCCCTGGTTGGTCACCTGCTGCAGCTCTCTCCTCTGGGCCTCCAGGCGGTCCTGGGATCGCCCGAGGGCCTCGGTCTCCAAGCTGAGGCGCTGGGCCTTAGCATTCAGTTCTGCCTCGCGGGCAGCCAGCTCCTCTTCAAACCGCCTCAGCTCCTCCTCTGTATACGCTGGGTGCATCTCCACCGTCTGCAGGGCCCAGGAACATGGCAATCAGTTGGGACATCATGGGTAGCCATGCTCCCCATTTCCCCCTGTGCTGGAGGCTAAGAGGGCTTAAAGAGGGTTTAAGGACAGTGATCTGACACAGGGCTAGGAGGAAATAGACCCAGACAGGAAATAGAGACAGCGAAAAGGGGACAAAGATCCAGAGAAGTGAATGGAAAAAAAGGGAGAGAGAAGAGAACTGAGAGAGGAAGGAGAAAGAGACTCAGAGAAAGGGGGACAGAAATGAGGGAGGGGGGCCAGAGACCCCCAGAGAGAAAGGGGAGCTGGGCACCGGTGGCTCATGCCTATAAACCTAGCTACTCAGAAGGCTGAGATCTGAGGATTACGGCTTAAAGTCAGCCTGGGCAGCAAAGTCCAGGAGACTCGTATCTCCAATCAACTACCAGAAAACCGGAAGTGGCACTGTGGCTCAAGTGGTAGAGCACTCACCTTGAGGTGAAGAGCTCAGGGGCAGTGCCCAAGCCCAGAGTTCAAGCCCCACAACCGACAAGAGGGGGGGGGGTGTCAGAGAATCAGTAATAGGACAGAAGCTCAGGGATAGAGACAGACAGAGAGACCTATATAGGACAGATCAGACCCAGAAAGAAGGAAATAGAGACTCAATTAGAAGGGAAGGGGAATAGACACTCAGAGAGAGTGGAAACCAGAGTCAGAAAGAGAACAGATAGAAAAGGACCCTGAAAGCCAGGAATAACTGGAAGATAGAGGCTGCGGCCTGGGGATTGCCCATGTCCTTACCTCCCAACCCTCCCCGGTGTCCCCAAACTCCTTCCTCTGTGTGGATGCAAGGAACTCCTCCAGAGTCACAAGGCGGTCCTGGTTTGTGTCCACCTGGAGAGCCAGATGAGGGTAAGAGACAGAGCAGAGGCCAGGGCCCTTCCCATGCCCAGTTCACTCCTCACATTCTTCATCACGTGCTCCCGCATGCGCAGCCGCTCCTCCTCCATCTCCCGCATGTCATCTTCCTCATTCTTAGGGTCATACACCTTTTCCAACTGCAGGATCAAGAGAGAAGCGGGAAAGGAGTGAGAGATCCAGGATAGTAGCCTTACTTAGGCCTGAAAAAACACACTGGACTTCAACTCCCAGCAGGCCTTGGGGCGTGTAGCCACTATCATTTGCTTTCTGCCCCAGGAGCTTCTGGGAATTGTAGTTTGTGCTGAACCTTCACTTCCTGGTTACTGAAGGGGACTGGTTGAATCCCTGAGGGTACAGGTAGCTGAATTGAGAGTGCCCTGTTCCCATGGCTTCTAAGATACTCACCTCCTTGGTGAAGAGGGCCTCCAGCTCCTGCTCATCCAGGATACCATCACTGTTGATATCTGAAACAAGGGGAAACCACAAGCTATATCTGAAGACTTTGTGAGTCCCAACCCCAAGGGATCAGCTGGTGAAGGAATTTTAAGCCTGTGTGTGTGTGTGTGTGTGTGTGTGTGTGTGTGTATTGGGGGGAAGGGTCTATATCAGTAGACAGGTAAGGCTAGGGTTTGAGGCCTACATCAGCTTCATGCTCAGCCATTGCCAGGATGGCCTGTTCCCTAGCAACCAGGGTGCTGAGAAGAGCGGCAGATGAAGGGGACTATCATGTGGGACTATCTCTGTGCCTGGTACCTGGTGATCCTCTTCCTAGGATACAGGGGTATTGGGACTTCTGCCTCCCAGATAACCAGGCCAGTGCCAACTTCACTTGCTTGGGGAACTGGCATAGTTGCAGTGCTATAGACCCCCTCGTCTCAGAACCTCTTCCCTACCTCTGCTTACTTGTTATGGGGCTTGAACTCTGGGCCTGGGCGCTGTCTCTCAGCACTTCAGCTCAAAGCAAGCGCTCTACCACTTGAGCCACAGTGCCACTTCTAGTTTTCTTGTGGTCAACTGGAGATAAGAGTCTGATGGAGGGGCTGGGAAGGTGGCTTAGTGGTAGAGCGCTTGCCTTGCATGCATGAGGCCCTGGATTTGATTCCTCAGCACCACATAAGCAAAAAGAAAAAAGCCGGAAGTGGTGCTATGGCTCAAGTGGTAAAGCGCTAGCCTTGAGCTGAAGAGCTGAGGGACAGCACCCAGGCCCAGAGTTCAGGCCCCACGACCAGACCCCTCCCCCACCCAAAAAAAAAAAAGTCTGATGGACTTTCCTTCCCGTGCTGGTTTTGAACTGCAACTCTCAGATCTCAGCCTCCTGAGTAGCTAGGCTTACAGGTGTGAGCCACCGGCGCCTGGCCCTCTGCTTACTTCTAAGTGAGTAAATACCCTAAGAAAGTACCCACCTTGTTTGTGTCCTGGTAGCCAGAACCTTGATCTTGCAAAAGCAACAGTTATTTTTACTTAATTTTTTTATATGTTGCCAGTCCTGGGGTTTGAACTCAGGGCCAGACTACTGTCCCTGGGCTTCTTTTGCTTAAGGCTAGCACTCTACCACTTGAGCCACAGAACCATTTCTGGCTTTTTCTGTGTTTGTGGTACTGAGGAATCAAACCCAGGGCTTCATGCATGCTAGGCAAGCACTCTACCATGAGCCACCTTCCCAGACCTAATGGTTATTTTTCAATTGTACCCAACTTGCAATGGATCCTAAGCCTACCAAGAAGACTGTGCAGAGGAAGTAGATTTAGGTATTTTATGGTGAGGATAAGGAGATTCCTGTTGACATTTGGGCTGCATAATGATCAGAGCTTCCAAGTTCTGCCCAGGTCTGGGACACCCATCCCATCTTACCATGCAATATGAAGAATGTCTTGGGGTTAAATCTGTTGGGGTCCAATCCATCCAGCTCTTCCCAGACCTCCTTTAACTGGGCTTGGCTGCCCTGTGGAGAGACAGGAGCTCATGAGCAAGACATCTGTGTGCCTTGGGATTAACCCTTTGCCTCCATCCAAGAAACTTCACACTTGTCAAGCAAGAAACCAGAAAACTACAATTCCCATCAGCTACTGGGGCAGCCATATTTTTTAGTATCAAGGAATTACTGCCTGAGAGGCTGCTGAAAGTTGTAATTCTTCAACTACTTCAGTCTGGCACTTTGGGAGTGGGACAAATGGGGATCCTCACAGGCACATTAACTTTGGGGTGCTCCCTGTGCCGGCGCTGCTGCTCTTCCAACTTCCTCTCGGCCTCCTTCCTCTGCTCTTCTCCCAGTGACTCCAAGTAACGGCGCCTCTCATGCTCTTTGAGCATCTCATAGCGTTTGAACTCCTCGTGGTGGGCAGCATCATACTGTGCGAGGTCCCTGGTTGCCTATGGAAAGGCTAGTTAAGATGATGTCTTAAGATTCTCAGATCTCATCCTCCTGAGTAGTTAGGATTACAGAGGTAAGTCTCTGGCACCCAGCTACACTGTTTATTTTCAGATAGGTTCTCATTTCCTTCCTGGGCATTTTCCTGGATTGTGACCTGGGCTATTTGTGTTTCTTACTGAGGGAGAATGGCAGGTGTATGCCATTATGTCCAGGTAGGAGTTGAGAAGGGGGTCTCATCAGCTTTTCTGTCTGGACTGGCCTTGAGCTGCCATGTGCCCAATAATAACTACCTAGTAGCTATGGTTCTAGGTATAGGCTGACGGACCCCAGATCTGGAAGGACTTTTGGTTGTTTTTTTTTTTTTGGTCCAGTTGTGGGGCCTGAACTCTGGGCCTGGGCGCTGTCCCTCAGCTTTTCAGCTCAAGGCGAGCACTCTACCACTTGAGCCACAGCGCCACTTCCAGATTTTTCTACTTATGTGGTGCTGAGGAATCGAACCCAGTGCCTCATGCATGCAAGTCAAGCGCTCTACCACTGAGCCACCTTCCCAGCCCTGGAAGGACTTTTGGAAAAACCTGCCCTCTGCCAGCTTTGCCCACAAAAGGCAAGAGGCTTCCATGTAAAACTTGGCTCTTCTTCCACCCTCTGTCAAGAGTCCTGGGTCGGGCTGGGAAGGTGGCTCAGTGGTGGAGCACTTGCCTTGTATGCCTGAGGCCCTGGGTTCGATTCCTCAGCACCACATAAGCAAAAAGAAAAAAGCCAGAAGTGATGCTGTGGCCCAAGTGGTAGAGCGCTAGCCTTGAGCTGAAGAGCTGAGGGACAGCGCCCAGGCCCAGAGTACAGGCCCCACAACTGGACCCCCCCCCCCAAAAAAAAGAGTCCTGGGTCCCATACAGTTGGGACCCCCTCCTTACTGTCTGGATCAGCAGCTCCAGGTCACGGGCCTCAAAGGTGTGTTGGTTCTGAGGGTCCAGGTGTTCAAACTGCTTCAGGAGATTCAAGTGATCCAACTGCACATCTGGATGAGGGGAGGGTCAAATGAAACTATGCATGGGGCATTCTTTCTTTCCTTCTTTCAGAGTTCCAGTCTTGGGACAGGTATACTGAGAGGAGTCAGAGGGGAGAAGCAAAGATAGCCAGCTGGGCCTGAGACAATCAGGAAGGAGCTGACACCACCAGTGAGTCTGATGTTTGAAATAATAACAATAAGGGACTGGGAAGGTGGCTTAGTGGTAGAGTGCTCGCCTAGCATGCATGAAGCCCTGGGTTCTATTCCTCAGTACCACATATATAGAAAAAGCCAGAAGTGATGCTGTGGCTCAAGTGGTAGAGCGCTAGCCTTGAGCACAGAGAGACTCAGGGACAGTGCCCAGGTGCTGAGTACAAGCTCCAGGACTGGCAAAAAAAAAAAAAATAATAATAGTAATAATAATAACAATGAGGTGGGCAATGGTGGCTAATACCTATAATCCAAGCTAATTCATAGGCTACACTCTGGAGAAGGATGGGAGTTTTAAACCAGCTTGAGTGATAAGCCCATGAGATTCATCTCAACCAACAAAAAGCTAGGTGTGATAGTATATGACAGTCATCTTAGCTACTAAAGGGAAACAGAAATGACAGAATCATGATCTGGACCAGCTAGAATAAAAACTGACATTCTACTTGAAAAAGAAAGCAAGCTAGACGGGTTGGGGTTTGGCTTTATGTTTTCTTTTTTGTGCAGGTCCCTCCTGGGGCTTGAACTCAGGGCCTGGGCGCTGTCCTTGAGCTGCTTTTGCTCAAGGCTAGCACTCTACCAGTTGAGCTATATTGCCACTTCTGGCTTTTTCTGACTAGTTTATTGGAGATTAGAAAGTCTCGTGGACGGGGCTGGGAAGGTGGCTCAGTGGTAGAGCGCTTGCCTTGCGTGCATGAGGACCTGGGTTCGATTCCTCAGCACCACATAAGCAAAAGAAAAAAAGCCGGAAGTGGCGCTGTGGCTCAAGTGGTAGAGCGCTAGCCTTGAGCTGAAGAGCTGAGGGACAGCGCCCAGGCCCAGAGTTCAGGCCCC